AAAATATGACTAAAATCCGGGGAAAACTAATAGACACTAAATAAATCATATTTTAGAAAGGATAGAAACGTTCAATTTACGAATCACGCTTGGGGCTCATTTTAAGAATCATTACTGTAAATCGAGTGCTTCGTTTAGCCTTCTAGTAGCTACTGATCAGATTATATTCATATAGAGGGCACGATAGAAATGTTCAATTTACAAATCATTGCTTTTTCGACTGCATTATTTTGATGCTTCAAAGTATTAGAAATTCCTAAAAGGAAAGAAAACATACATATTTAAAACTTTAAACGTTTCTCAAGATAGTAGATCAAACTATTAGGTCAGATGACCTACAATAAATCAAAGATTTTTCCTCTACCTATGGTACCATACTCTTCTCAACCCCGAGACTGCATTTTTCTCCTCGTTATATGTCATATTTATACAATCGAAAAGCTTCAGAATGAATTAATCGCGTAAGAGGAGGATTGTGACCAGCGAAACAGAACGAGAATAGAGTCGAGGATCAAGCTAGGGATCTACTTTAATATCCCGCTGCCATCCAATACGTCTAATTGAAATCGAACGTACAAAATTGACGAGGAAGCGACCCAGCGTATCGCAATGTCCTCCTTCAACCAAGTACCGCGTACAACCAAGACCAAGGGGACGTTTTACAACCATTTAGAATCGCTTTCTTAATCATCTCCGGCGGGCGGGAGATACGCGTTAATTGGAAATTGATTCAAAAATTTCTACGACGACCGTAACTTTGCGGTAATCCAAACGACTCGCGCGGGATAATCCAAGATCTAAAACCGTCGTTACCTACGCGTCGTGAAACACCTTAGCTATTCCCTGGATCGCGGAGAACGAATAGCTCCGATTTTGGGCCGCGAGTTTCTTTCTTCTGGCAAATTAATCTAGCTCTTACCGTGCAATGGTATAACACCGAACGGGAACGGTAGACGTACGAAACGGGCAATAGCCCGTTCCCTTTTATTCCCCGAGTCGAAAAATGAGCCTTTATTTCATCGGTGAAGCGTAAGGAGAGCCGCACTTCTGCCACCTACACGGCAAAAGAAACGAGGCAGACTCCATATAGAAGTCGGGATGGTTCCCCTTAGAGTCGAGCAAAGTCCGATGTATGTAATACGATGGTTTATTGCTAATATTTCTTCCGAGTAATATTGGTACGCGGCTCTCCACCTACGAGTCCCTCTTCGATACCGCGGAGAACCCCCGAGACCGCCTCCTTCCCGTTTTGGAGCCATTACCGTTCGCGTATACATATACACATACCCATTACGCTTGCATTTAAACCGATACAGTGCCTCTTCTATTGCAATCAAATCGCGAGGTCAGAGAGACTTTGTTCTCGAGACTGATCGAACTCAAACTAACAGAATAAGATTTTAGTTACACGAATTCTAGCACAAACAGTAGTGAAAATGATTCTCCGTTGCAAGTATCCCCAACCTTGCGCGACAAAATCGTGAACGTCAAGTTTCTTGAAATCGGGATAAGTATAGCTTTTTTCTCGGCAGATTTTGTTCTTGGAACCGATCGAACTCAAACTAATCAAACGAGATTTTAGTCACACGAATTCTAGTACAAACAGTGGTAAGAATGATTCTCCGTTGCAAGTATCCCTAACGCAGTAATCCCCAACCTTGCGCGACAAAATCGTGAACGTCAAGTTTCTTGAAATCGAGGTAAGTATCGCTTTTTTCTCGGAAGATATTGTTCTTGGAACCGATCGAACTCAAACTAATCAAACGAGATTTTAGTCACACGAATTCTGGTACAAACAGTGGTAAGAATGATTCTCCGTTGCAAGTATCCCTAACGCTGTAATCCCCATCCTTGTGCGACAAAATCGTGAACGTGAAAATATCTTGAATCCGGGGCAAGGATTTTCTCTGCTCAGTATTCGCTAAGGCTTTTCGTAACTATTTAAAAAATCGAAATTACACCGCCGATCGTCAAAATAGAAAGCAACTTGCGTGCACCGTGTGTTGTAAAGACCATCTCCGGAGCTGATTTAAATTTTCCAAGACAAAAATTGCATTCGTAATTTCCTCTGTGGCGGAACGCAGCAGCGTCCGAAAAATGATATCGCGCAAAATGGTCGGAGTAGGTACCTCGGTCACGTACAAGCGAGTACACGTCGCAGAAGCGTGAAACCAGATTGAACGTGCATCAGTGCAGACGTGCCGTTCTATACGGTCAAAACAATTAAACGTAACGAGTACCACTATTGAGTAAGAACGTGCGAGGAGCAAACGAGGCAAAGAGATGGCCGAGGATCGACGGACAACGCAGCCTTTCAGCCAGGTCTCCACGACATTAATAGCTTCCAGAATTAAACGACGGTCTCGGCACCGTGGCTCGGCTCACATACCGACAAATGCATCATTGTCGACGTTGACGTACGTCGTCGTCGTACGCAGTATACGACTCTCTATCGTCACGGCGACGAACAGCGAAAATAATTTAACCGTTTAATCGTCCGACCGAACTTAATTTTACGAGCAAAGAGGATGGAGGCGACTAACTCGATAGGAACCTGATTTCGTCTCGTCCTTTCATCCGTGTTCGCACGCTGTAAAGTAGAATTCATTTAAGTCGAGTTCTCGGAGGTAGGCAATAGCGGCGGCGACGTTCACGATTTTTCGACTACCTCTTAGCCAATCCAAGGCGTCAAGACAACCGCCGTCTCTCATTTCGTATTAAATTCACAATCTTTAATATTTTCACTGATAAATCGAAACCGTGTAATATTCTGGAATAAAATTTCAATCTCAGACCATTGCAAACTACGTAAAAATTTCGATACTCATTTTTGTAACCTTGCTAAAATCCACAAATCCTATCCAAATTTATTTCCCTCGACGTCTCAACTTGAGAATTAATTGTTCTAGTTGCATAGTGGTAGATCCTGTCGCGTTTTCGCCTTTGCGCCATGCACCAGATTTAACGATAAAACCCAATACACCGACGAATCCCGAAACGCCATCTCGAAGAAATATCGATGCCCGATTATATTGGAGTGCCGCGCCCCGATCGTAACATTTTATCTAATCGCGCTTATGCTCTCCTGGGTCGGGCAGTAACGTCTCCGGAAACTCTCGGAATACCAACGATAAGCTTTTCTAATTTTTACGTAAACTACCCCCCTCCCTCCCCCATCCTCGCGAGTCAGCACTGATTCATCAAACTTATCGACCGGCTTTCCATCTCCCCCGTCGAGTTGAATAATTGTCACTATTAATAACTGCAAATTCAATTCTCGAATTCAATATCTCTGTTCGAACGGAAAAATTCGTACGGCAGGCCGCGCCCAGGCTCGGTATCTTTTTTCATTCCTGCCGCTTAATCGCGCTCCTTTCTACGTGTACACGCGCGTGTTTGCTCTTCTCGTTCCGGGGAAACGACTCGGAGAAATTTATGCGACAACGGCTTTATTAAAGGCGGACCAATGTTCCCTATTTGTTACGCGAAATTGAAAGTTCCCCGGATGAATATTAATAAAACTTTTACCGATAACGTTCGCGAAATTGAACCCGAGCGTTAAAGGAACGAAATTCTTTTAAAATCCTTATGCTTTTCGCCTATAAATAATAAACGCTTTCATAGTGCGCCGGCGAATTAAATTTTATCGTTTTTCTCAACCCTTACTTTTTTCGATCCTTCGCGAGAATAAATTACTTGGAACTTTAAATGTTAAATTGTATTTCTAGTAACAAAACTATTAAAGATAAAGAGCACCTGACTGTCTTTATTATGTACGAGATACACGATTACACTACTTTAACATTTTTTTTTAATTTTTTATATAAAATTCTAAACATGAAAGTATCAGAATATGATACAAAATAATAATTTTGGAGTCAAGGATCAAGATAAAACTACGTTTCATTTTCTTTTTTTCTACTCTTGACTACTCTTCTATTCTCATCGTGCAATTATATATTCTTATTGCTTGATTTATTAAACTGTATATACCCTGAAGAGGGCCTACATACGAGACTGATACATTGACAACGCACTCATTTAAACTAGGGTTCTTAGACCAGATACTGTATTGCCCCGAAGACCCAAGAAAATTGATTTTATAGAAACTCTTGTATTAAAATATATATTAACCCCTTGCGATCCTATGTCTAGACTCTAGATATTGCATTCCAGTCGATCCTACATCGAGACTGCCTGAACAAAGGAATTTATAATAATTTGTTTCCTCCGAAAAACGTTAAAGTAGCAGAGAAAACTATTTTCTGGGACTTCGAAGTTTCTATAATAAAACTATAAAATTTTACATAAATTACGTCCCCCGACAACGAGGATCGTTTTCACGCTGAAGTATGTTACACCCCATCATTATTTTACTATTTTCGAAAAATTATTAAAAACATAAATTACAATGATGACTTAACTACCTCCCCTTCTGAACTGAACTGAAAATTAACTTAAAATTAGAATTCTTCCATCGTAAATAATATTGGAATACAATGTAAATTGAAAATGTCAGTTACAAATAACCACCATGTCAAACAAAATCTCTGTCGTCGAAGAAACTAAATGATTTGACGCGAAACGATCAGCAATAAAAAAAAGTGCTAGCAACGTTTATATAACATTGCATATATCTACTCCAGGTCCGCAAGAAAAATATAAAGATTAAGAAGGAAAATGCAAGAGGAAAAGAATGGGTCCTGGAGCTTTATGTCGAAAATATTTAAAAAAAAAAAACTAAAAATTTACTATTATGCCTAATTATAAAACCTTTGTTATTATTCACTAGTAAACACGAACGATTAACCCTCGAATGGCGGATGGTTTTTGGATTACACGTATTTCTCGAGGAACGTGGACTCGAACAAAGAACAAGAAATAAGCTGTTGGGTCAAAATGACCCCGCATCCACCGTGCGAGGGTTAACTGGAGAAAATGTTTGACCGTCGCGCAAAGGGCGAACAGACTATGTACTCGATTATACAATGGTTTGTTACCTTGATACTGTCGTAGCAAGCAGTGACCCGTCCGTTCTGCACCTCGACGTTAGCTGGCGGATGAGCGAACTTGCACTCCGTGTCGGGCCTGGTGCACTTGTTGCGCTGGAACTCTCTGCAAACCTCTAGCTGCAGCCACCGGGAATCCTTGCCGTTCAGTAGGTTATTCATGTTGACCATTGCCATACTTCCACTCCTGGAAGACCAAGGAACTTCCTCCTTAGGGGGGGGAGAGGGGGTATACAAGCCCGGCTTTACACCGACTTTAATTTATCCTCTTCCTCCACTGGATGTTCTCGGCGTAGCCTGTTTGTTCGCGTTCACTCGCACCGGCTGATCTTGCCAAGGGATATAAGCGTTTTGGTTTATTCAAACCGGTCCTCTGCTCATCGGCACTTTCGGGAATTTCATCCAGCCAAAGACTCTCTCTTGCTCTCGTTCTCTAACTGCTCTTCCACGCCGATCCGCGACGGAACCGCTCGGAACCACAGTAATGTACGGTTGAATTTTCACGATCTATCTACAACTGGGTGAAGCCTGACCCAGCAGAGAAGGCAAGAGAATCGATTGTACGAAAAGAAGAGGAAACGCGCTACCCTGCACGCGAAAATATCACTGCTGGGTCCCGAATTTCACGAAATTCAACAGTGGATTACTGGTAGAATTCGTTCAACGAGAAGTGGCTGTATTTATGCGTCGATCGTAGTAATTCCGCGTAAAAAAATAAGTCGAAAGTGCAGAATAAAATTATACATACGACGCTTCGATTTAGAGAAAACTGATTTTGAATTATCAGACTTCTATTCTATTTATAAACGTGGACAATATTATTATTTGCTTACTAACGACTGTACTATTGCCCTTGCTATTATACTATAATGTTACGTATGTGAGCAGGGATGATTTAATGAAGAAGAATAACGTTTTTCACAAATATGTTATTTTCAAGTTCTTTCAAGGTCTAATAATAAAAATCGATAGGAAGAATGATAGCAGCACTCGCAGGAAGCAGATTTTGTCAACATTGTCCATCTTTATAAATAGTAGAAACGTAATTAAAAAATTACAGTTAGTACTCGATAAATTGTCAAGCTTGATGTTTTCGAAAACAAAACGTCGTACGAACAAGTATTATTCTATATTTTTGATTTATTCTCTCATTGCCAGAACATCCTGTGTATGATTAATTTGCTTTGTTACTTGTTTGTATTTTCTGCCAAGTCTCGCTGAACAGGAGTGTAGAGGCGTTACAACGTTCGAAATTCGAACCAAATCGATCCGAGATCTCGAAACATACGAATGACTGAATTGTAGGATGTAGATCGTACAAAATAGGATACAGGTATGTGGATAATTCGAAATACTACGTGATATGATTCGGTTTCTTTCGAATCGTTCGAATTTTTCGAGTTCTAGTTTTCAGAACGATTCTTTTCAAACGTTTAGCACCTCCACTCGGAATCTCTCATTCGCACACGCGCAATATTGGGCCGTAACGCCTAACAAATTTTTTATTAACCCTCAAAATGCACCGTTCCAATTATTCCTGACGCGGCAGAAAAATAATACGTTCGAACGTATTTTTCTACTATCGATAGACGAAGTATCGGCGTAAATGAAAAGATGTCCATATTCGCGAATAAACTATTTTTATTGTGTTCCCACGTCATAACCTGTGTATTCGTCGTTTGTATTGTATAGCTGTTAACGATAATGTGTTTCAGAAAATTCAACAAACTACGTGGTTCATTACGATAATTCAGCGACAAATTTAGCGAATAAAAAGATACTAAAAGAAGCAGGATGAAGCTTTTAAATTATTTTTTAACACGTTTTACTAGATTTGGAAGAAATGTGTATTTAAAAAATCGATAATTAGACTTTGACGTATTGTCGTATTTTAAAATATTCGACTTTCTTCTTTTACTACCTGGTATAGTCAATCTTGTAATTAAGAATCTATTTTCATTTTTCATTTCAATAGAAACCGATTAGAAATTTGCTCGTATTTTATAAGTATCGATATGTGTAAAAAAAAAAATTATTATAAATGACCGAAAAATACGCGTTTTACACTAGAATATCCCTTAACGCTAAATTTACGTAGATTGTATTGGTATATTCAAGTGTATTTCTTCTTTAAGTAGAATATGTACTGTGCGTCCGCGAGAGGGGGGATGGGCGGAGCAAGTCAAGTACTCCACTGTTCCCTGCACCGTCCCGCTAGCCAACTTCTCGAGTACGCACAGTACATTGCTGCATCAATTAAAATCAACATAAATTACTGCAATTTTATGCATGAAATCTGAAGTCCGGATTCCGTAAATTTAGCATTAATGACAATACACTGTTCAAACGATTTAGCGTCATATTTAAACGAATAGACATGTTTCCAGATAATTATTGTAAAAATAGTAATAACGAATGTTGAGTTCTATTTGTATCGAATATATGTCGGAGGAACGGGAACGTTTGAGTGTGAAACACGCGATGAAAGTTAATTGCCGTCGTTCGGTCTTAATCTCGGCGCAGGTGGAGCCATTTTAAGCGATTAAGAGCATCGTCCGCGCGTGTAGTTGGTCCGTTACAACCCAATACGATCGCATCGAATCGCATTCGCACCATTCACACGTGTCGATCCGAACGTCCCTCGTCGAAATCCCGTAAGTGCCTCGAGCTGTGATACTATGATAAATAGTGATACCTTTCGCAAGAAGATTTCTTTGAGTAGCGTGCGATCGTCTTATTGTTCCATGAACGCGTCCCGTGACAAGCTGATGGTCTTCCAGAGCTCGAATCTTCCGTGTAGACGAAGCATAAAACACGCGTAACCGGACGACGACGAACAAAGACTACTATTCAAAATCCTCGACCGCGAGGCGTACCCGTCGCTATTCTTCTTTACCTCGCCTAGTTATTCGTTGTCGCGTATTATCGAACACCCGTGTGAGAGGCTCGCGATTGTCAGCGCCAGTACGCACAATTTCTAAACTATATATTTAGACCGTGATTGCCCCGTTAATATATCGCCTCGTTGCTCTTTATTGTTAATCGTGCAGAGGGGACCAGTGCAACAGTATCGTGTTTTACGTTTTTTTTTTGCCAAACTAGCGGTTAGCGAAAGAGAGAAAGAGAGCTTCCTTTAATTTTCTTTTCAATTCCAACTAGCCTCGAAGGTGACGATGCTCAACCAGCTCGGCGATACTTAACGTGGGGTTCGTGTAGGCGGCGGGGTTACTCAGCGGCGGCAGGCGGTCGCAAACGACGGAAGAGCGAAGGAGATTTCACCGAGAAAGAAAAAGTGAAGAGGTAAAGAGGCAAAACGTATTCGACAGCGAATTAGGCTCCGATGTGTTACGATTTTAGGCGTTGCTGCGGGGGCTTCTGTCACGGGACCGTGGCTTTTCGTTCCTTCTGGACAGCGTCACGGTTCTTTCTATCGAACTTCAACTTCTCTGTTTATCCTCCTTGTTATCTTCGCGCGATGCGCTCGGACAGGTTTAGAAGGGCACACGTAGCAGCAACCAGAGGCGTAGTAGTTGGGCAAAGCTTGAAAGCCTTCGAAGCTAAACGTCGACCACGAGTGTGAGTATATGTGTGCTCTAGGCGCAGGTTTGTTTCCTTTATCGATAATATAGCTGCTGTTTGTTGCTGCTGCTGCTGCTGTTGCTGCTGCTGTTGCGTTGGAGTTTTATTTTACGTGTGTACGCGTATGTATGTATATGTGTGAGTCTCAAAAAGCCGGTCGTGGTGTCCTTCAAGCCGGTTCTGAAGCTAACGCGCGGCCTCGGTTGTGTAGAGAGTCTACTTGGACGAGGACGGTAGGATCGACTTGGACCGTAAGAGAACGGAGACAGAAAGTGACCTCTCGAATCTTGGAAAGGTGACCCTAAGAGCCTGTATCCTTTCGCAGGGACGAGAGACACGGATTGGAAGGGATGGATTTCTTCTTTCTTTTTTTTTTCTTCTTCTTCTTGTTTTCACCGCAGAAAAGAAGTAGGGGCGCGGTTAGAGTGAAACAGAGAGAGTGAGAGAGTAAGCGCGAGAAGGCGGTAGACGACAAAGCGGGTAAAGAGGCGAGGGCGAAGGTCCCGGTTGCGTCGGGGTCGTGGATCGGGGCTTAGGTCCGGAGGGGGGTCGCGTCCGAAAAGACGAGAGAGGGTGGGTGGAAAACGTGAACACGGCGAAAGAGAGTGAGCGAGAGGGAAAGGTTCGGGTTCGCTGGCGGAGGGAGAGGGGGATTGCGAGTTAGCGAGTGACGTTGCGTTTCCGTTCCTCGGATTTACGTCATTTATTCGGCGCACTCCTGGTTCCTCCCGCGGTCGAACTCCGGATTCTGCTGTTCTGGAAACATACCAAAAGCGAAAACTCGCGTTACTGCGGATGCAAAGGCTTAAAATGCTTCTTGTTTCGGGGTTGCTTGTCGAATGGGAGGGGGGAGGGCGGGTGACTAGACTCGATGAAAGGTTTTAGCTTCGCAAAAGAGACAGAGAGATAGAGAGGAAGAGAGGGAGAGGGGGATTCGGGCTCGAGTGTGAGTGAACGATCAAGCAGAGGCCGCGAACGGGCGAAAGGTAAAGTAGAAAATAAAGCGCAGGACTACCAATGCAAGCACGCTTAATCGAGTATGTGAAAAGGCGTGGGTGGTATCGAGGATTCGAAACGAGAAATGCTTTCGGCTTTTTCTTATTCGGGTACGTCACTTCCCGAAAAAAATACGTAAATCAATCGGATTAGACGGCACGGTACAAAGTTCGAGTTAACCCGTCGAACGGGTATGTGGGTCTCTGGGGACGGACGCTAAACTTTCCGTTTAAGCGGCGTCCGTCAAGTTTAACCCTTTGCACTCTGAAACTTTTCTCTGATTACTAGGGACTACGGATATTTATGCGAATGAATATTTTTGTATGAAAAAGATAATTGGGACTTGAATAGAAATTTATTTTATTATTAGAGGATTCCAAAAATATAATAATTTTCCTTATGGTAACAGGCAGTATCGTTCTAAAATTTGTGACAAGCATTTAACCCTTTTAGAGCCGAACGACGATATATCGATGCGTATGCGATGGTGTCTTATTCTTCGCATTAGGAGAAAGCTCTGTCTCAAAAAAAATTTGTAAAACATTATAAAGGGTCTAATTTTATTGCAAAAGCATTTAAAAAATTATTTTTGGGTTTAACCCTTTGCCCTAGAAGCTTTTTTCGCTCGGGCGAACCAACAACTCAACACTACTTTGTGGTGGAAACGTATGTATTCTGGAGTCGTCATATTATACAGGGTGTTCGGCCAACACTGGGAAAAATTTTAATAGGAGATTCTAGAGGCCAAAATAAGACGAAAATGAAGAATATCAGTTTCTTGACTGAGGCCTCGTTAAAAAGTTATTAACAATTAAATTAAAAAATTTCAAACCGCTCTGGAAAAATTATCTTCGATTGCAGGGGTCAATTACAATCATTTTTGGTAAATACACATATCTCCGAAATCCTACCCACTTTCGAGAAAAAAATTCGAGTAGGTACTGAACTTTTTAGGTGAAATTAAAATATTTAAAATCACACTAAAAAAATTATATTTAGTTGCAGGGGTCAATTACAATCATTTTTTATCATTACACATACCCCCGAAATCCTACGCATTTTTGAGAAAAAAATTCCTTACCGAAAATCTAATTAGGTGACTAAATTTTTCGACGAAAAAAAATTATTTTCGGTTGCGGGGGTCAATTTCAATCATTTTTTGTGAATACACATACCCCTGAATTCCTACCCACTTTCTAGAAAAAAATTGGAGAAGGTGTGAAATTTTTCAACGGGGGAAAAAAATTGCAAATTGTTCTGGAAAAATTATTTTCGGTTGTGGGAGTCAATCACAATCATTTTTGGTGAATAGACATACCCTCGAAATCCTGCGCGTTTTCGAGAAAAAAATTCAGTACGCGCTCCACTTTAAACGTTAATAACTCTTTAACAAAGCCTCATCATATTTTGAATTGATTATTTATTAAAAAATCATTGAAAATCAAATACTTATACTTTATGCTACGTGACCTACATAAAACTGTGAACAAACAATGATTATTCTTATGTGTAAATATTGTTTGTAGAAGAGAAACTTGTTTCTATGTTTTTTATCATATTTTAGAATTATGTTATTTATATGATTTGCAATAAATATTGAAATGCAATTGCCATTACTTTATTCTTTCTTTATTTCGTAATATGCTGCTTTTTGAATTTTATAAATATCATTCTTAGTTTGGTTTTTATGAGCTTTTTCTCTAACCATAACAAACTCGTCAAATTGGCTCGGTATTCTTCGCATAGGCACCCGTTTTTCACTCGGCAATAAAAGGGTTAAACGTTATTATTGGCATAGGATCGTTCTTCTAATTGTTACGAAATGAAACGATTCTTCTTCCACCCAAGCGACGTTCTAGTTGTTATTCGTCCTTATTATGAATATAAATCGTAGAAAATAATATTTTGGAAAACGGGCATTTTCCATAAAACTAGTTTTCGGACTGTGCAAAAATCAATTTATCTTGCAAAATGTCAAAAGCCAATATTTTACCGCAAAGCATGTGCACAATATGAGAGAATTATTATTGAACACATTTTTTTTCGAGCACTTCTGTTAATCTGAGAAAAAATTGTTCCGAAGAAAAGTTTAGCGGTTTCCTGCCCGCTCTACACAACAAAATATTCAGTTTATAAAAATTATTATTTTGTAAATAAAAAATCGAGATCAACTTAATTTTTATAAATGGCAACAAACAAAAATAAATGTAAACGGTTATAAAAAGAATCTAAAGGTTTGCGTCGTATTTACAATTCCAGATACAGTCAACGTGTTAATAAACAAACAGTGCTAAAATAATACGCAAGATGCATATCTATTTAAATTTGGTGAGAATATCGGGCAAAAATCGGACACTTTTTAAAACAACGTTTTGGATTTTGTTGAAATTGAGATACGTTGTCTGCTCGAAGGATTTTAGAAACGTTTGAAAATTGTTAATTTTATTATGTGTAACTGTCTAAAAAATAATGCTAATTTTCCCCCTAATAAATTAGAATCGTTGAACTCTTCAAAAACATTTAAAACGCAATCTTTGTAATAATTTTTTGTACGATTGTTTAAAAAGAAATATCTATAGCTGAGTAACATTTAAAGAGTTAAATGGAATTGAGAATATAGCTCCATTTGCCCACTTTACGTATCAGCTTTCAAGAAAAGTGACACTTTAAAATTAACCATATGAAAATTAATTGAAGTTAATGCTGCTTCAAAGCGTGCCGCCTCTGCGCGCGACGTACACAGTGACGGACTATACGAACACGTTGCAATTTTAGATTTTAGCACGTGTGATATCACATCAAAAGTAAATACATTAGTCGTCGCTACGAATACCGGAAGTACACTGTCGCTCAAAAGTTTAGACAGTCCACCGGTCTTTAAAATACATAAACCGTGTTTCGAACATTCGCAAAGGCAAAATTTACTCAAAATATTATTCTTGCGTATTCAAGTTTAATTTTAGCTAAAAATTCGGAAGGTATTTAAATTCAGAAGTTACTTTCAACGAACTTCTACAAAGACGTGAAAATTTATTGATACAACGCTTCCTATGAATAACTTGTGGCAACACTTTCCGCGCTGGCCACCAGAGGGCTACGTTCAACTTCACTCTCCCGCGCAAGTGCTCAACCAATCACTTAATTCCTACACATACCCAGTCGTCTAAGTGTAATGGTTGACGTATCCCAATTTAAGCAAACTCCGAAGTGTCGCACCGAAATAAATGCCATAATTCTAGCAGATACTGGTGCACACACACGTTAAGCGGTGAAAAACTACTCTTACTCATGAAAAGCAAAAACACACCGACGCGTGGAAAGCGTCGGTGGACCCGGGGCGACAAACTCCGCAGATAAAATCGAGAGAAAATACTTCGAAGAATACGCATGCACTTGCACAAGTCCACGTTCGAGTATGCGTTTTATGCGCGAGCCCAGAGACAGTTAAGCTAAAGAAAAAGAAACGACCGAAAGAGGGTAGGGGCGCGGGGGGGTACTAGTACAATTTTCCGTCGCGCAAGTAAGCCGCTTACGAAAAGCGAACCCGAGGCGCTCGACTCGTTTCTCATGTTACCTGGCAAGAGTTATGGGGACGTATGCGCGCGCTCAACGCACTAGAAAATACCGGAAAGAAAAACGTTTTCAGTCGGAACGCTCGTCGTTTCCACGAGGATTTCCCAAACACGCCAGAAATCGCCGGAATACGCCCGTAAAACGATTCGACGTTACTCTCTTAACTACGAGAGGAGTGGGGGAGGGGCGACAATTTAGATTAGTTGTCTACATAACTTGAAATAAAATTTAGACTGTTAGTTCGAATCAATTTTTACCCGTATACTGTCATCGTCAGACGAACCGTGAATTTATAAATATATATGTTTTAATATGAAAATAGAAATCTGAAGCGAGGGTCAGAAGTGACCGAAACCGTCCTCGATCCAACTGTTGATATTTGTTTTGAAAAAAGGGTTTAGAAATTTTCGAACGGATAGTATCTGCTCCCTGAGTATAGGAAAAATAAAGGAGTTTTCTTTTTCTTGTGATTTTCAAATCAAAATCTATTATTATAAGAATTCTATTGAACAATTGCACCATTGTGGCATAATCACAATTATGCGTGTTATCGTATTTTCGTACATTATTATATGTTTTATATTATTGTAATTTATCGCAGATTTTATATTTGTGTGCTTTGTTAGATATTACTAAACATAAGTAAAGAATAACTCGACTCTTACTTCTACCAACAAACAGTTTAAATGAGGTTGAACCCACAGAGCAAATAAAATTCAGAACTTTGTTACGGGCGGTAAAAAGATTAAAAAACACTAGTTTGCATGAGCACTTTCCAAACAAAGGCACGCGCGAGCCTTAAATAAATATTTGTTGTACCCGGAGCATGATAAAATACTTTTGAGTGAATGTGTATACAGACGTCCATCGTTAACTGTAATTAATTTTGATATAGTCAATTTGCAAATGTTACAATTTTTTACATTTGTCCGTAAACGGTACAAATAAACTCGTGTTCTCATATTTCTCAAATTATTCGATCTATCCCTGCTACGGAATAATCGCATTTTTAATTAAAATAATCGTAAAAAGTGGTTAAGGAAATCTGTTTTTAAAACTTTCAGAGGCGTATTTAATGAAATAAACATGTTTTAATAATTGTACGTTTTAAAATTAATAAGTATTGAAATATAAGCCATGGAAATAGAATTGATCGCTCTCGATTTGTTATCAGCACGTTTATGAAT